GTCTGAATGCCCCTTGGAGACACTAGATACTGTTAAGAAAAAGTGAAGGTAGTGCTGCCTAGAAGTTTGGATGTGCAGGTCAGAACTTCCTTTTTAGCAGTTTCAGTTTATAAAGGCTATTAATTTATCTGTATGAAAATGGGGCAGTAGAGTTCAGTACTAGGACTCTGTTGGGTTGTGCTTTTTTTTTTCCTCATTGTGACGTAGTATTTTAGCTGTTGTAATCCAGACTTGTTAGGTTACTGGGTGCAGGAATAACATACATGCATAACATACATGTTATGCCTAGAGGAGGTTTCTCTGTCTAGCTGGGAATGTCTACTCAAATAATAGTCATCCAGCAGCTGGATCATTAACATTTTCAGTGTCTTCTCAATTCTAAAGATTTTAGCCTCTGAGGTCAGTTGGGTGGTTTCTAAAAATTATACTAATAGATGTAAAAAGAGCATTCACCAAACCATCAACACATTATCAAACAGTTCTATTTCAGGCATATGGCAGTAGACGTGATTAAGGAAGTGTGGGCTATGAAATAGATCTGCTTATCTTGTGGTACATCGCAGAGATGCATTTCAGACTGGAGGCTTGCTTAGTGAGGAAAATAACCTGTATTAGGAAGATAAGAGGTACAAGTGGATATCCCTCCCTCCCACTCTCTTGGGTGTGATTGTCTCAGGCAACCATATTAGCAGAAGCTTAGACTCATTTTTAACTTCTGGAACAGATTTGCCAAAGTGAAAGTGCCTACAGAGAATGACAGTAATAAAATGGGCAGTGTGTTGTGGAAGAAAATAAAGTTGGCAGCTTGGAATGGTGGAAAACAGCTTCAGATAAGCATGTGCTTCAATAGAAATTAGTCTCTGTCCATAGACATGATAGCAGCCAGTCAGAACTGCTCTTTCAGTTCAGGCAGTTAATAATATCTTGGCACTGGAGCTTAAGGGATACAATTTGCAAAATTATAGTAGTGTGGGAGCGATAAATTTCAGCACAAAGCAGGCAGCATTCCATATAATTTATTTTAGATTTCCATCCAGGGTATGTTCTGACACTCCACATGAAAGTCAAATTGTCCATGTAAAATGGTTTTCAGGTGATAAGTTGACCCCTGGGGTTTTAGTAAAGTAATAGATTCCAAAGTCTCCCTGACTCTTCAATCTATAAAAGGCAGTTATCAGCTGTTTGAAGGATTTCAGAAGAAGGAGAAAAAAGAAAAAAGAGCTTTTGTACACTGACATTTTTCTCATTAATGGGGACAATGTTTGAATCACAAATTCCTTCTGGATTTGGTAGTAAATACTCTGCTGACGTGTTTTGGGAAGTGGTTGTTCTGCGTGAGGACTGTATGTGTCTAATCTACTGTGATATGCATATAGAACAAGGAATATTTCTCATAGGCACATACAGCCCTTCAGAAGAGGGGCGTTTGCTGTGCCACCATCTGGCCATCATTTCTAAATGCATTCTACCACGAGAGCCTACCTCTGCAAAAGTTTTGCTGGGGAGTGACTGTCTTAAGGTGCCTACAGAAACACCAGGAGAGTAACAGCAATGGCAGCTTTCCTGACAGCATTCTGAGTTTAAAACGTAGTGCAAAACAAGCAGTAACCCGAAAAGAAACAAGGCATCACTTCAAGTTCTTGTCTGAATATTCTTGCAGGACCTGCTGTGATTTTTCTTTTTCCTAGTGGTGCTGTTTTATTTAAGTGTATTGTCTTGAGAATACTTTCAAGTACTTCCTATTGTTCCTATTGTACCATGTGGCTTCACTGACAGTTCAAGCAGATCCACAATTGGGTAGAGGCTTTGTTGCATTTTAGTTTAGTGGATGGGTGTATCTGCAGATACATGGGTTGAAATGCAGCACTAATAAGTAACAAGGGAAAGGTGACAGGAAGATAGGACTAGTCATAGTGACAGTAGAAAAAGCTTACCTAATAAAATGCTAAAAGCATGTTTATATTTAGTCCAGTTGAGTGTCCCTTTGAATTTTGAGCAAAGAAAATACCTCCTGCTTTTATAAACAACTCTGCCCAAGAAAACAGGATTTTTCTACAGTCTATGTAAACAAAAATTACTGTCTCAAAGAAAAACCCAAGTCCCTCTTCAGCTGTTTCTCATGTTAAGCAATGTCCTGGATTTTTCCTGCTTGTGTCTGTGATGAATGTCTAGCTCACTGCAGAAGTATTGCCTGTTATACCCTGTTGCTGGCACTTCTGCAAGGCATGAAGGTAGCTGCACAGAAGGTGCCTGTTTGACTTCTGGGTTACTGGGGGAAGAGGCAGTTGTCTCCTCTGAGAGGAATGAAGCAGTGCTTAGGGGTGGGGCATCTGACACTCCCAAGTGGGTAGAGAAGAGGGAAATGCAGTGAGCTAAGATCTTATAGGCAATGCTGTGGAGGAGATGGGGGTTTTCTTGTGAGACAAAGCAAAGCTTTGTAAGCAATGGGAGGATGGAGAGTTCCCTAGAGCAGGCTGCTGGTGTCTGTGGTGATCTCTGAAACATTTGGAAATTTTCAGGTTGGAAATAAAACTGGAGAGAAGGATTTACCCTGCAGTGATGCTATGGGGAAAGTAATTTTCAAGCATTTCTATTTAATCTCGCTCTCCAACACATCAGTCTTCTCATGTTTTAAAGAATAATTCTGTTCTGTCATTTTAATAATGCCTGTTCTTAGAAATCTGGATTCTATGGATGTGCTTGTCAGAAGGAAAAGCTTCTACCTAACTACAGTTGTTAATTCATGGTCCCTGCAGGTAAGATTAAAAAGAACTAACTACCCTTAAACCTTGCCTTTCTCTGGTTTTGGCTGGTCGGGTTTAGCTTTACAGAGGTAAGTGTGTGCTGGTGCTGCAAGTGGGTAAGTTGAAACACATGTGGGATAATCCTATTCACTCACTTGAGTGAACTCCTGCTCACTCCTATATGTGCTCTACTGAGGTCTGCTGGAGCATGCTCAAAAGTAAAGTGTCTGTCATGTTCTCAAAGTGCTTTTCTTCTGGAAGAGCAGATCTGAGGACCACAAGAGTTTATGGGGAACTCTTGACTTTTGCTATTGACTGGATTTAATCTGCATTAACGCTTTCCAGAGTAGGTATGTATTTTCCTTTATGTTGTTTGTCACTCTGAGGCTGATTTTGAAAATGTGTCATCCCATGTCAGGGTCGCAGGTGTTAGCACTAAAATGTTTACCTGTTCATTGAGCTGGTTATCAAAATGTTTGTATTTGTGGCCCCAGTTAATTGTACGCCACACCTTTGCTTACTTGAAGCTCTGTGAGAAATTGTTTCTTTTCCTGGGGTAGGATGATGCACAGAAGGAAGAACTTTATCTGTATTTCTCCATACCCTTTACAGGTATAAGGAAGAAGTGCTAGGCTGATCCAGGGTCAGGTGCCGTAGCTGTGTAAGTGCTCACTGTGACTGCAGCTGTAGGTGGAGCTGGTGTCAGACATGGAAACATGATTCAGGCCTGCAAGGAGAGTCACAGGCCTCTGCATCAGGGAAGGCACACAGAGCCAGTGTCAGCCTCCTCACATCAGCTTGCCCTGGACAAGGACAGCAATCCATTCCCCCAGCAAAGTAAAATCACTAAACAAGCCTCTCTCACAGATATGCCTTCATGAAAAAGTTCCTCCCATAATTTTTAACGTGGGAGTGGGGCATCTGGGCCAAGACTTTTAACTCAGTTCATCTTGTAACTTTAAAAAAGGAGGAAAAAGAACAGGCCAAAGTATTTTCATTTTCTCTTTCAGAGGCCCAGCTTTAGGAACCACCTATTGCTTACATGAAGCCTCATCTTCATTGCCCTGTCTCTCCTATGGATAACCTTTACACGGATGCTATGTTTCACATGGCTAGACAAGGTTGTGCTGCCTGGTCAGGCTTTTTTGGAAGTCAGTATGACTGAAACATGCTTGTGGAGACCTGTGATGAAAGTACTCACTGAGTGTGATTCTGTGTTAAGCATGCAGGCTCGTTCTGTGTTAAGCATGAGGCTCCTGACCTTTGCCACCCAGCTGTTGTGACAATCCAGTTGTTCTATAGGGTGGTTGTGTGAAATTAGCTAAAACAAATGCATGAGTAACCACCACCCCACATTTCCTGTTCAGAAGCTTGTGTCTTACCTCCTGGCAATGCTGTTACTGCTAGAAAGAAGTGTGTATGGGCAGAGCAGACTAAAGCATTATCTTCTACAGTTACATTTCAAACTGGAAAATAGCTGCATGTATATGGCAAGTGAACTACATGACATCAATAAAACAGAGATCCTAAATCCTACTTGGAATTGCAATTGGCAGCTGTTAACGTGTTTTGAATTGTATTTGTTATTTGTAGCTTAGCAATAATTACCACCATGTAGTTCTGCTTGTTAGCTTTGGAGGAGTTTGAAAGTGGTTGGGATGCTCCAAGATGCTCCCAGCTTCACAACCTTCCACACTGCCTTGAAACTGGGATGGGGTTTGTCTTGAAAACAAGAACGACATTAGTTTTGCATGTCCAGTTGCTATGTGGATGGAACAGGCAATGATCCCTTTGCCACCAAGCGGAATTCAAAATGTAATTCCAAGTACTGGCTAACATCTGTAAGCAGCTGTGCCTTCCCACACACTGACAGGAGCTTCCAAAACGTTTTAAAAGGGTCACTGAGGAATACAACCCCAGGCTGCACTGCACACTTAAGTGTTTTAACGTGTCTTTCACACAGGCCTCATATTGGACGTTCCTCCTCCTTGATTAAGGATTAAATGCAGTGATTACAGTGGCCGGCCTGGGGCACACTGCGCAGAAACGAGCCACCGCTGACTGGAGCGGTGCTGCGCGGCCCCTGCCCGCACACCCGCGGCTGCCAGCGTGGCGGGCTCATGACCTTGTCGCTCCCGCGGTCCGCCGCAGGCAGGGACCGGCGGAGGCCGCCGGACTGAGGCAGGGCCGCTGCCTGTCTCCTTCAGCGCCCCCCTAGCGCGGCCGTCGCCATGGAGACGGGCGGGCCCGGCCTGGCGGGCGGGGCGCAGGGCGGCCGCCATCTTGCCCGCTGCCTGTCAGCGGGTGGTCGACTTGGGGCGGGCTGCGTGGGGCATGGCGTTCTCGTGTTCCCAGGTCCCCCGCCTCGGTGGTAGTAGCACCGGGTGCAAGGTGAGTTGGAGGCGGTGCAAAGCTGGTGGTGTAACCGAACCATGGTGGTTTTGGCTCTCAGGTCACAGCAGGACGAGGTGGCAGAGCTCTGGGCAGGAAGCTCACCACAGCCACTTGCCGCAGGGCCCTCTCAGGGACCCGCTCCTGGGCACGCAGCTGGCCTGAGGCAGGTTTTTATGAACTGGAAAGAGGTGGCCCTAAATATTCAAAGCTCGTACAAAAACGCAAATTAAAAGCTAAGTTGCCAACTTACTACCACAGCACCAGCAAAAGGTGCGATTTTAAAAGGGGGAAAGCCTTAAGTAATAGAATGGCTGGCTATGTAGCATGGGCTTGAAATGTATTCTAGCAAAATCGATTAAATCATTAAACGAGGGACTGATGTGATGTAGGGAGATGGTTAACATACCATCCTCTCGGGGTATTTCCAGATGAGGTGACCCACCTCAGAGCTGGAGTTCCCTAATGGCTGTTTTGCATTGTCATTGTGCCAGCCAGGAGGGGAGGGCCACCATTCTGTCACCCTCTTTTCCAGCCGCTGCTGCAAGAAGCTGTCTCGGTGTGTACCTTCGTGTGCGTTTTCTTTCTGTGCAGAGCCCATCTGTGTGTCTGCCTCCCCCTAGCCGGCTGATCATCCTTTATCATGTGGAAAACAGGAGAAGTGCCCTTTCGCCCTTTATTTAATGCAGGAATAGGTTATGGGATTTCGTTCATCTCCTGAGAAGGAAACTGCATGCCCAAAGCAGCTGTTGGGCTGACCTCCCTTCTCTGCATGTGTGGCCCCAGTTGCATGCTGGTGGGGGAAAGGGAGATGTGATAAGACTTTGCTTTGCTCTGCTCTGTGCTGTCCTGACCTTGATGGAGTTGGTTCCACAGCGGAGTGCGAGTGGCTGGTGGTGACTCTTAGCCTGGGGAAGGTCGGTTGCGGCTGTAGGGGGGCTGTAACCAGCCACTTCTCTCTTTACAGGAGAGCTATGTCACCACCTCGACTGGCATTTGGCTTCACATTCCCTTTCAGGGTTCATGAGACGTTAACTCTGGAAAGGGAGCTCCCCCCCCGCCCCCCGTATTTATGTCAGTGATTTTGGGTTTTAAACTATTCATGCGTGAAAAATGACTGTAGGAACTGAATACTCCCGTGTATGAATAATGACTACACAGGAATACAGATTACAGCAGTTTTGCAGTGAGTCTGCAGCAGTTTACATGCTCTCTTTGGGAATGTTATGAAACGTTTTTAAATGCTGGTGCATGTAAATGCATTGATTTCAGTCAGACTTTTTTTTTTGGTCTTGTTTGGATTTGTTCAACTTAACAGTGTATTGATGCAGAGGGTTGACCAATGTACATACAATGTACAACCCCCCTGTACATTGGTCAACCCTCTGCATTAGTGTCTCGTATTTGCTCTTAGATATGCCCAGCAAATTAAGGAAATTAAAAAAATGCATGCAAAAATATGGTGCTATGCACATGTATCAGGTTTGTTACTTATTAATAGACTCCAATTTCCATATGATAGCCTGCTTTTGGGTTTTTTACTCTGGCTGAATGGATAGTTTATGCCAATTACATGTAGTTTAACAGCTTTGAAATCTGATTTTGCTTTTGTTATGCATGAAGACATGGGTTCTGTTTCAGGTTTTAATTAAACTCTACATGGACTTTAAAGATTCTATTGTCCTTTTCATTTAAATAGGATTTCTGTTAGATCTTTAACAAGACCTCAGTGGGGTTATAAATCTAAGCAATTGTCCTTATTAGGAGTAGATTACCCTCAAGAGATGGAAAGTCACAGAAGTAACTAAAACCATTTGTAGAGACTGAACTAAGGCTTTTTCTTCCTAAACATTAAACAGACTTGCAAATGACTTGCTTGGGTGCTCAAATTAAATTAAATGATACTTTGTTTATTTTTCACAGTTTCAGTGTAGGCTATTTGCATTTACTTAAACTTTGAGTTTCGCTGAGCAAAATTCACTCTTGGGTATGGATCTTAATTTTCAGTATGCAGGGTGCAAATGAAATAGGGTATATCCTGCAAATTCTTTTGTTAGTAACCCTTGCAACACTTGCCATTTACAGGGCTCACTGACTTAGTGTATTCTTATTTCATTGTATTTGCCACAGTAGGTGAGTAGTGGATGAAGAATTAGTCCTGCACCCCAGCCAGGTAGATCTGCAGGTTATGTAGCAGTGTGCAACTTGTCCAAAGATCTCACGTGCTGGACTAAAACCACAAGTTCTTAAGTCAGAGAAAACTTGCCACAAAACCAAGAGTCCTGCCCAAGTTTGGCCTTCACATATTTACATCCGCTAAGAGGTGAAAGGGAATTTGACTAATGGCTCTTAGTTTCAGCTGTTTGCTTCATTGGAGGGTATTCTCTATCCTGCAGGTGCTCAGGCCTTGCTTTGTTCCTGGTTTTAATCACAGGTTGGCTTCTGATGGGACATGGCCTCCTTTACACACACAATAAGATTATGAATTTCTGCTTTATGTTTCACTCCCACCTTTGTTAAACACATTGCACTGCAATATTTTTAAGCATCCAGTTATTTGGAACTCCATTTTGGGGTGCCAGGTTTGAGACACTCATTCCTAGGACTTGGTTCTACCCAGAAACCAAGAGGCAGAGGTGTTGCTCAGGGGCATCCTCACAGTAAGATGCCTTGTGAGACAGGCAGGTTTTTTTCCCTGGCTTCAGTTCCTGTCTGACTGAGCTGCTGCCCTCTGCAGAGCACGCTGCAGGAAGCTGGACTCCAGGGACACAGCTGCACGTGACCCACCACGTCCGCCTCCACCGGGAAGGAGCCCACAGCCCTGCTCAGCAGATGAAGACAAACCTTTCATGGTTGCTGCAGCTGCATCAGCTCTCAGCCACCAGGTATTTAATGTCTCAAAGCTCCTCTGTCCGTGGGCTTCTCTGTTCCTGTCCTGCAGGCTGGTGTCTCTCTAGAGCCCAGTACTGTCAGCTTCTAGTCTGCTTCTGCTTCCCACATGGTACTCTGCTGTGTTTCTCTTAATAGTGATCTCACCTCCACCCTTACTGTCTTCTAAGTGGCATTGTAGTGATACTTTGGGGTAGAACAAGTTAAAGTAGAGGAGCTTAGCTCATAAATACTAACTTAAAATTATAGATTTGCTGCATATTTGAGGTAAAATGCCAGGTTTTGAGCCTTCATTTTCTTCTTATAACTCAAATGGCAAAGATTTTGGTATGACAAGTCATAGAGGGAGGTGTAAAATCTGGTAACATAGTTCTTCAGTGTTATGGTTTCTCTGTGCCCTTATAGGAAACTTAGAAAAAGTTGAAGGTGCTGACAGCAGTTAAGTCACCCGGTTGCTGCTCTGCTTTTGATGTAAAGCTGGGGGAGGGCAGGGGGAGGAAATGCATAGGCTTTTAGGTTCAGACTGCAACTCTTCCTGCCTCCCAGTGTAGTGCACATTCATAGAGTGGCAAACCTAGGCTGAGTCCAGCTACTGATTTGCACAAGATTATGAGGATGCTAAGAGTGCTTAGCCTTTGAGGTGGATTCTTGGGGGAATTAAGAGATTCTCTGTCCTCTATTGTGTGGCAATTAGAGCTGATCTGAGTAATGCTGTCTCTCAGACAAAAGCCACGGAGGACAATTTTGCTTTGGATTCTTACTGGGATGTGGGATTTTCCCTTTGTTTTCTCCAGCAGCAGGGCCAGGAGCTAACCTGTTCTTGGCTCTGCAGGGTGAGATTGACAGGGTCAACTCTGCCAAGGGGCATGTCTCAACTCGTCCCTCTATCCGTGTTTCTGGGGACGCATACTGTAATCATAGGCAAGTGCTGGGGCTCTGTGCCTGCAATATGGAGGTGATGATGTGTGTACAGGAAATGCAGGACTCGCCAAATATATTTCAATTGCTTGCTGATGTGCATGACCTGACAATTAAAAGATTCCCTCCTGCGTTGCACTCTGAAGGAATGTGTGTTGCTTTCCAATACCAAGTATACCATAAAACATGGCTACATGCTATTTGCACACTGGCCATGAGGTGAGCCAGCAGCATTCTCCCCTCCTTGCAGCAGCCTCCCTGGAGGAGGAGCAGGCTGCTCAGAAGGTCCGGGGGGGTACCTGTGCATCACAGGCATGAAAAGCTGCCCTCTTTCTGCCTGGAGGCACAAACCTGCTTTCACTCAGTGAAGCAGAGCGGAAGGCCTGAAGTCCTACAGTGGCAGGTATCCCCAAGTATCTGCAAGATGAAGGGGGTGTGTGGGTATAAGAAATCCAGTTTGTTTCTCAATGTAAGTAGGTGAGGTTTGGGTGGGAAAGTAATAGGAATTCTAAATGATTGCTGGTAACACTTAGTAAGATGACAGCAAATCTCCTTTATATTAATGTTCAACTTTTGAGACTAGTTTGAATCTTACTTTATTAAAGAAGGTAGGAAGCCTAGAAGTAGCTCTTTAATCTTCAACTGGAAAATACAGTTTTGAAATTCATTATCTTAGGAATGAAGTAATCAAGCAGAGTAATAACTGATGTTAAACCTGCTTTGAATGTTACTTAAAGTACTCCGCAGATGGAAACAAAAGTTGATAGGATGGTGTCAGGTTTGCGTGGAATATGTTTTACTTATGCAGTTGTCCATATAAGGAAGAAAGGTTGATCAGCGTGTATTTTCTGGCTGTGTGATTGTTTGGGAGCTATCAAAAGCTAAAAAATAATTATGAGATTCAGAAATACTTCCATTTGCTATTTGTCCCAACAGAAGGCTGTTGGAACTGAATCAGTGTTATAAGCAGAGCTCTGCCCATGAGGCCTTCACCACAATGGGTACCCATTATCCTGCATCTTCGGAGATCTTCAACATTAGAAATGACCTGTTACTCAGTCTGTCCCCCACTACTGCTGGACTGTTCACCTTGGCACATTTTTGATCACCCCTGGTCAATCCACACCTGATGCTGTTGTGTACATGTGTCCTGTTGCTCTCTATGCTGTAATGCTCTCCTGTTTTTTCCAAATGTTGTCACATTTCCTTTCTTCCTGTGTTTTTCATCTCTCCTTGTCCATTTGTATAACACAACTGCTCTCTGTTGTTTTCAGCTTCTGAGTTTATACTGTGGGTGAATTTATCAGTCTCTCTGCAGATCATTAAAAAGAGGCTATGTAGGACTGCATGTAAAAGAAAACACTGCATTCCCAAGATAGGTCACAGGCTGGTGTGTAGCAGTGGTCGTTGTTTTGGAATATTTAGCTTTGTTTAGTTCTTTAACAGATGCAAAATGATCTCTGGATCTCTTGTTTGCCACTTCAGTGTGAGACTACCAGGAACACAAATTCAAAACTTGCGGGACTTGAAAAGACCTGTGCAGCCCTAGGGAAAAGGCAGTTTGCCATGTAAGCAAAACAAAACCCCAAATGAACAAAATCCCAGCCCAGCCACAAAATCAGTCTGCCCCAGCTTGTGAGCAGGTGAGGGAAACCCTTTCCTCCTTCTCGCTCTCAGTCTGTTTCAACCCACCATTGTGCTCCGTGGCTGGAGAGTTGGCAGAAAGGGATATGTGTGAGTCCCTTCTCACAGTGAAAGACAGAACTGGCACGCCTGTGGTGTAAGGTGAGCAGAGTTCTGCTCTTTGTTGATGTTTTGGTGCTGCTCCTGTGAGAAGGCATGAGCCACATGATTGTTTTAATCCAGCAAAAATCTGCGCCCAGTGCTGCCAAGAGGAGCATTTGTGTGCTATGGTGGGTGGTGGAGTTGGATGAGGGAACAAATCCAACTGCAAGCAACTGCATTGCTTCATTGGGCTTCTGAATGGTGGTATTGACACAAAGGAGGGAGTTGTTAGGGTAAGGGAAGATGGGCTCATGCAGAGGAGCTGCGTCACCACAGGGTGAGTGGAGGGGGAGGCTCTTCGAGCGTATCTTCTGAGTGCCTGGTCCTAGGCTGTGGGTGGTACTGCTGTGCCGATGAGGGCTGCACAGGTCTGGTAATGCCAAAGTGTTAAAGGTGGACTAACAAACCCATCCCTTCATTTCATTTGTGCTCCCTGCTGGAGTTTTTCCCCGGGAAAGCTCTCATTGTCATCCCAGTGTTAGGCCAGGGAAGGTGGACTCGTAGTTGCACCTGTGACTGGGTTAAGCATGGCCTTGGGTAGTGGCAGAATTTCTGCAAGCGCCCTTGCAGGCTGCATCTCCTGGCACAGACTCCCTGCACCCTTGGTCCTCCTTGGCTGCCTTCACAGCATTGCCAGGATGGTGGTTTTAACTCTTTGTTACCCAGAATTCACACAGTGTCCAGGCAACTGTCCTGGGTTCAGCAGTAGCAGTCATTCTTCTCTTTCTTGGTAGCTGGTGCAGTGCTGTGTTTTGACTTTCGGGCTGGGAACAGAGCTGATAAAAATGATGTTTTAGTTTGGCCAAGGACTTGGTGAGCCTCATGCTCTGCCAGGGAGGAGGGAAGCCGGGAGGAAGCAGAGACAGGACACCTGACCCAAACTGACCAAAGAGGTATTCCATACCACAGCATGTCATGCCCAGGAGGTAACTGGGAGTTACCCGGAAGGGCTGGGTGGACTGCAGGGTTGGAGGAGGTATCGGCTGGTGCTTGGTCTGGCTGGGGGGAGCGAGTTATCAGTCGCCTGGTGATGAGGTGTTGTATTCTCTTCCCTTGTTATTTCTTTTATCATTACTATTATTGGTGGTAGCAGTAGTGATTTGTGTTATACCTTAGTTACTAAACTGTTCTTATCTCAACCCATGGGAGTTGCATTCTTTTCGATTCTCCTCTCCATCCCTCCAGGAGTAGGGGGAGGGCAAGAAGCACGGGGAGTGGGTGAACAAGCTGTCTGGCTGGGGTTAAACCACAACAGCAACACAACAGTAAATAAGCCACTGGCTCCTTTGTACAGAGTCGCATCCTTCATGTTGACCTGCTATTAGTGTTAATAATGTTGTGTGCAACTTCCCAAGCGCAGACTGGCAACTGGGGAGTGTAAAGTGTGCCTCAGGGGGCAGGTTTGAGGCTTCATGAACTAGCTCTGTATAGAAGATGTTCAGCCTTGGTCAACAGTAAATTGAAACAAATAGTTCAGTCCTGGTTACTTTTTCTAGAGGGGATGAGGCAGAAGGAAATGGAATTAAAAATAAACTTTGAAATGAGCTCACAGCTTTTCCACAATCACTTAGAACTTTAAAACATCTGATATTAACAAAAGAACCTATTTAAAATAATGGTAAACTGCCATCTGCTGGTAAAAAAGTAATGCACATAATGAACAAGCAGGCTTTCAATGTGATAATTCTTTTGTATTTGACGTGGTACAGTCAAATATATACATGACAGGGAAGCTGCATATATTTATTTTACTGTTTTTCATCTCTATTTGCATTTTCATATAGAATATGCTAAACAGATGCTTATAACATAACTAACTTTAACGACAAGCGCAGAAAACCAAAGACAATAAGAATAAAGAATGAGGACTAATAAAAGCAGATGAGCGATCAGGATGGTGACAGCCTCCAAATGTGTCCTATTTACATTGCTAATAATGAATCACAAGCACTTCCTTTTTTGATTCTCCCCCCGCCACCAAACCCTCCCATATGACCAGAATTGTAGCACTGAGAGGTATTTCCTGGCTGCTACAACTTGATTTTTGTGTGTGTGTGTGGTTTCTTAGTCAAGCTTGTAAATAGGAACTAGGTCTTTAATTGTTCCTGATTTAAGTAGGTCATCTTCACCAATACACAAATCTCCAGTAGTCTTGTAAGCCAGGTCAGCTATTGAAAGGATATGGAAAATACTTATTACATAAACATGACCAGAGAAAATAATTTAACAAAGGACCACTCCCAGATTATATGATGTTACCAACCAGTTGGCATAAATCATAACTATGAGTGCA